AAAATTTTTTGGGCTCATAATCGAACCCATAACAATACAAACCTAAAAATGAGTTTGGCCAATTTAGCATGGCCAGCATAACATTTTCTGACACCTTTATTTTGAGAAAAATGATATTGACCCTCATGCGGCGGAGTAAACGTAGTTTGTGCTTCGCCCCTTACTTTTAGGCATCAGTTCCTGGCAGAATGGTGGCAGCAAGCATGGTGGGAGTCATTCTCCACTCCAGTAAGTTCACACCGTGTGCGTGTGAGTGTGATTCATAGCCGTGTGTGTTGTTTGATAACGCAATTAAGCCAAATAAGCGCTTACAACTTCATTCACTAACAGGTTTCGCTGTGGGAATAAGAGGAAGATGCGACATTAAACTATCAAGATACACAATTTACTTTGTTTCATTCTTGAAAGGGATGAGTGAATTGGAAAGAATTACTGGAAATTAGGAAAGAGATCACCATGCAACAAATACCTGACTCCTACGAGCTCACCATGTTTAATTTCACTATTCAACATCAACGTAGGGAGGAAAACCAAACTGTGGATTATTTGGCAAGGCAGAGATCGGTAAGAGAGACAATAGTGCGCTAATGCCTCGACAACTTAGAGGTATTTTACGACTGGATAAGCTTGGGATGCCTAATATGCGGCACTAATTGGTTACGACATGTACTAGTTTGTGTAGTTTTTTTCCGGTTTTGTTGATTTGTAAACCACGGTATTCTCATAAAATTTATGGCATTGGATAATTCAACTGACAGAAGGCTTTCATATTATTAATGGATTGAAGAGGGTAGCTAAGGATTCCTCCCAATTGCCAACAGATTCTGTTGCACATTTATATCTCTCAAGTTATATGTGCACGAAGGCACTTTGATCAGTAAGCGTGCACATCACAAGAGTAGCTCAGCTGCAAAATGAAGAAACTGCAACCTCAAGGTGACTACTTTCCAGTGACACTAGACAATCATATAAACGAAAGAGATAACTAATCACAACATAGTAGATTTTAGAGAAAATGTCAAGTTGCTCAATTGACAGCAATATATTACAATTTTTTTTTTTTTTTTTACAAAAACAACCCAATTAATCTCCAACTACAAATTTGAAAAGGTAAGTTTTTGAGTCGATGATATCAGGGTGTATTTGTCCTGTGAACTATCTATGTTAATTGGTATTTTTTTTTTCTAATTTTGTCAGGCCAATTCAAACTGCAAGTAAGACCAAGGAAATTTTCATGGTGAGGCCCCCCATAGGGTGATCAAACCCAAACTCTTCTTCAGCCTGGCTCAGCAATTTCTGGAAAGAAGGGTGGTTGTGGTTCAAAAAAGATATTGGGACTACAAATCTCCTTTTCTTTATTTTCGATTCGCCAACATAAACAGCAAATTAAGGTGGCCTCTAGGTACATCTGCAGTGTCACAATTGAAGTGTGTGGGTGGTATGTGGCAGTTGGATGCCTTTTGGAAGAGAACCAAACCAGTAGGATGTGAAATAAAGAGACTGAGTTAGCTAGACAATTCTAGTAGTAAGGGACGTCTGTTTTGTTTTATAGTTTGTTAAGATGTTGTGGAGTCTGTTCCTATTTTATTGCCTTGAAATGTTGAGTTGTTTTTGAATTCTGTTATCTGTACACAATATAAATTCCAGCTGCTATGAATAAAAAGTATCTTCGGACTAATCAAAAATCTCTTTGAGTAACAGGAGGCCAGGGTTCCCTCAAAGTAACCGAGATAAATTAACCTTCTTTGTTCTTCTTCTATGACATCAAACATTGGAAATGACTCTACCACTACTGTGACCGTACCAAAGTGGTATCATCGCCTAGGAATAGACCAGAAAGTGGAACAACTGGAGCACAACGTGGGCTCTCTCGTAACTGGGCAACAGCAGATCATGGATAAAATCGCAGAGCTGTTCGACAAGTTGAGTGCTAGTGCCGAACAATCAGTGGCACAACCTATTCGTGAGGTAGGGGAAAACTTCCCCACTCATCCCAGAACCAGTGGCGGAAGGCAAGACGGGAATGGATGAGCGCAATATAGCAACTTTCATCCTTCATACACTCCTAAACTAGTAAAGTTGGACTACCCACGTTTCAATGGTGGAGAAGACCCAAGAAGCTGGGTGTGTAGAGTTGAGCAGTTCCTCCAGTTTCATGATACTTCTGAAGCGAAAAGAGTTTCCTTGACATCGTTTCATCTGGAGGGAGATGCTCCATTGTGGTATCAACTGCTCAAGCAAGAGATGGATGTGGTCTCTTGAGATGAATTCAAAGAAGGACTTCACTCTCGGTTTGTCCTAGCAATTCTATGATTTCTTTGGCAAGCTCACCAAGCTTCAACAAACAGGATCGGTACGGGAGTATCAAATTTAATTTGAAAAGCTACTTGCTAAAGCAGGTCCCTTTCCACAAGCCCGCCAAGTGAGTTGTTCTGTCAATAGATTAAAAGATAACATCAAGGCCGATGTTCTAGCTAGGATGCCTATATCCTTATCTTCAGCAATTGGCTTAGCTCGAGTATATGAAGCTCGCAACTTGTCCCAATGGTGAGGTCATAATAGGGAAGTACCAGAAATTTCATTTCATGCTATTTCTAGTGCTCGTGCACCCGAAACAATGCAAATCAAAGGCAACATTGGTCAAGTAGCAACTACTGTGCTAGTGGACACTGGGAGCACTCACAATTTCGTGAGTGAAGCATTGGCTAAAAGAGTGGGCCTATAACCAGCTTTGGGAGGTAGATTTGAAGTTGTAGTAGCTTCGGGAGAAAAACTATTTAGTTCAGGTAATTGCACTGGTGTGAAGCTATCATTACAAGGCGTTCCCCTTTTTGTGGATTTCTATTTGCTTCCTTTGGAAGGATATTATGTAGTGGTGGGGACACAATGGTTACGGACGTTGGGCCCAATTCTTTGGGATTTTTTCCAAGTTACAGATGCAATTTCAAGTCAATGGCAAGGAAGTGACATTACAAGGTTTGTCAGCCCCTAAAAATGAGGTAATTTGGGACCTTAAATTCTATCGGGAGATAAGGAAGAGCAAGTCATGGGTGTTGCTCCAGTTATGGGCAATTGAAGGACACCACCCACCATCCCATAGAGTATCCAACAACCAACATATCCAGCAGCTCATCCTCAAGTTCATGGACGTTTTTGAAGTACCCAGGGGCTTGCCACCTCCACGCATGCATGACCACTAAATCCCGTTGATTCCATGGAGTGGTCCACTGTGTGTAAAGTGGTATCGCTATCCATATTAGTAGATGAGATGCTCGATTCTGGAATTGTTCGCTTTAGCAATAGCCCATATTCCTCCCCAGTCATCTTGGCGAAAAAGCATGATGGTCGTGGTGTTTGTGCGTTGACAAGTGTTCTCTCAACAAAATCACAATTAAATACAAGTTTCTCATCTNTTTAGCAATAGCCCATATTCCTCCCCAGTCATTTTGGCGAAAAAGCATGATGGTCATGGTGTCTGTGCGTTGACAAGTGTTCTCTCAACAAAATCACAATTAAATACAAGTTTCTCATCTCAATGATTGATGAGTTATTGGACGAATTGAATAGTACAATATTCTTCACTAAACTAGATTTGCGTTCAGAGTTTTATCAAATCAGGGTGCTCTGAGTAGATGTCTCAAAGACAACTTTTAGAACTCATCATGGGCATTACGAATTCTTAGTGATGTCATTTGGACTTACTAATTGATTAATGAGGATTTATGAAATATTTGAAAAAGTTCATACTTGTGTTTTTTGATGATATCTTGATATATAGCAAGTCCTGGGAAGACCATATTCGTCATTTGGAAATCACTTTCTCACTTCTTAAATCGTACAAACTATTTGTAAAGAAAGAAAAATGCCAGTTTGCCCAAAAAGAAGTCAAGTATCTGGGCCATGTCATTATAGGAAAAGGAGAAGTTGTAGATCCTGAGCAAGTTGCTGGTATGATGGAATGACCCAAACCTATCACACCCAAAACCATGCACGGATTTCTCGATTTGACAGGATATTACAAAAAATTCATTCAAGATTATGGGAAGATTGCAAGGCCACTCAATCGTATGTAAAAAAAGAACTCATTCGCATGGAGTTTTGCCTTGGATGGAGCATTTTTAAAATTAAAGGAAGTTATGTCAAGGGCTCCAGTTCTAGCACTCACTGATTTTGAGAAAAGGTTCATCATCGACTGCGATGCTTCCAGATCAGAAATTGGAGCTGTTCTAATGTAAGAAGAACGACCTATTGCTTTTTACAGCCATGCTTTGCAAGGAAAACACTTGCTTCTTTCCACTTATGAGAAGGAAATGTTAGCCTTGGTGTTGGCTCCACAAAAATGGCGTCCATACTTGTTGGGGGGTCAATTTCTTGTGAGAACTAACCAAAGGAGTCTCAAGTATTTATGGTCTCCAAGAATTATAACAGTAGCTCAATAACAGTGGCTTTAAAAATTATTGGGGTTTGATTTTATTTTAGAGTATAAAAAAGGGAAAGAGAATGGGGTGGCTGATATACTGTCAGGGAAGGAAGAAAAAGAAACTGGGGAACTGACAGTCGTATCTCACCAAATTCCAAATTGGGTGGAGGCCATTAAGGAGGTGCATAGCTCCAACCAAAAGATGAAATAGTTGATCAAACTTAGTGGGGAGGGGGAAGCTGTGGGACCTTGGAAGCTTCAAGATGGAGTAATCTTTTTCAATGAAAGAATTTTCCTCCTTGAAGACTCCCCACTAACCAAGTTGTATAGAGCAAATACATAGCATTGTAACATTTTCATCCAGTTAAAATAAAAAGATTTCTGCCAATANCGAAAGAATTTTCCTCCTTGAAGACTCCCCACTAACCAAGTTGTATAGAGAAAATACATAGCATTGTAACATTTTCATCCAGTTAAAATAAAAAGATTTCTGCCAATAACTCTCAGTAAAGAGTAAAGTTCCATAAATACTAACCAAAAAAAAAAAAGTTCCATAAATAATGCAAAATATAATGTACATTCAGAGGTCAGAGGTAGATTTCAACTGCTGATTCTGTCCATCTATCAAAGTCAACTGCCTCCTGAGTCTAGCAATATGAGCTTGCACCTGTCACATTCAAATAAACCGCCAAAACCTCAATTTCTGGATTTTGCCCTCAGATGGTAACATTTTATCTGTGCTATGAAAAGTAAATAAATAAGTTAAAGTAAATGCTATGATGCATCGCTATATTCGCAAACTGAAAAGCTCCCAGTTCCTTTTTGATGTGGAAACACCAAATCTNGTGATAAGTAAATAAATAAGTTAAAGTAAATGCTATGATGCATCGCTATATTCGCAAACTGAAAAGCTCTCAGTTCCTTTTTGATGTGGAAACACCAAATCTAGGAAATAAAATGGAACAAAATCCTGCATATCAGTATTGTGCAGAGCCTGTGAAACTGTTTCTGAAATTCACAGATCCACAAGATAAAAACTAGTAGAAACCTGAGCCATTTCAGATGAACTGGTTTATTCAAACAGTGCAATAAATTTGCTTCCAAAGTAACTGACTAATGGGTGGGTAGTTAAAAAGAATTTTCAGTTTTGTACTTATTGAAATAGAGAACAAAGTGAAAGTGTTGGTTTCAGTATGATGCAAGGAGGCATCAGCAAGATATCGCTGCATGTAAAGTTATTTTAGTTAGGAATCTAATCCTGAGCTTCCATTAAACTCCATCAAGATCCAAGGAGTTTAAAAACACTGAACACCTGTTGAACTCTGTCTTGTCCTAATTCAACCCTTAAACCCTTATTCTTTAGTACTACTACCTTAGGCAACCTCAAGGCCCAAGATGCTACCAACTTGAGTGACAAACAAACATAATCAGGCCCTAAAAGCCCTCTCTTGCGCTGAGCGCCAAGATTAATTTTGAAACTAAAGTGTGTCCTACAACACTGGATCAACATGGGAGCATAATTTAAACTATGACAGCAATCATAAAAGATTTAAAAGCACAGAAAGTTCAGAAATATTAGGATCAAACAAGTGGTCACATGAAGGAAAATGAAGTTTTCCAAGCGAGGAACAAACATAGCTCTACACCACATTTAAGATAGCAGCAAAATTTGCAGCATTCGGAACTGCAAGAATTTCAAGGCAAAGGCAAGGTTTCTTGATTGCATCAAAGATGATTACACCAAAGAACATTTGCAATAAAAAAAAGTGGCAGGCCAGAAAGCATGAAGAAAACTGAGAGTGGTGCAACTTTACTTTTTTTTTTTTTGGAAAATTATGAATTCATGTCAAATATGAAAATATAGGTTCGAGTTTAAGAGCAGCTACTTTGTGGAATAATATGCCACGTCAAAGATTAGGTTTGCATCTGGCCTACCCTCCGCACGAGTCCAATCATTTGACTTTCTATTTCCACTTCTTATCCTTTTCTTTTGAGGGAGATTAGTTCGTGTTCTTTGTACCAATGATGAGCTAGCAAGGCTAATGACTAGCCATTTGCCTGGTGAAAATCTATATGTTACTCTTTTTACACAACATTTCACGATTACAGAAGAAATTTATAGTAGGAAAGTAAAGAATACTAAATTTTGCATATAACAAAAGAAAAGGGATTTTAATATTGGGAGGGATGGAGTAAATTTTTCTAGACTTGATTGAGAAAGATAATCTCTTTTTACAATTCCCTTTAAGATTCAATGGAGATACAAATCTTCCACCATGGATATTGTATCAATCTTAACCCCATCATTACAAAAAATGATAGATTAGCACAAAAACCAAACATTAATATCAGAGAGGAAGTAGAGTATACAGATAGGTAGTAGCTTTCCATAAGGACTAGTACTTGCATGAGTAGTTCAATGGTTCAGGTACCGCACTCTAGAGAACCGTCTATGTGATTCATATAAGCTTTTCTACAAATTTAAATACGACATACACAACTCACACGGTTGCAAGCAAGCATGTACTTCCATTCAGGTGGAACATAAGTGAATTTTCCAGTATCTAAGTAGAAACAAAAAAGGGTCATATAAAGGGAAAGCATTCTATCCATTCTGACCTGCTGACGAGCTGCAGCAAGCTTTAATAATTCATCTGCCTCAGAGAAATTTGTGAAGTAAGGGGTCAAGGGATTGTCTTTGGTGTCACCTCTCTTCCTTTTATCCACTTCCTCTGTTGGAATCACAGAGATATACAAGGTAATTTAATACCTAAATGAAGAGCAAAATCAATTCATAACACAACCAAAAAGAAAAGCACACCAGGAGCAGGTACACTAAAACCAGCAGGTAGTCTAGGAACGATAACCGCTGGGTGATTCTGCACACGAGCAAAGAAACTTTCTGAAGGCTCGGTAAAAACAATTTCGTCATATGCTTCCACAGTAACAGGTTTCTTAGTGGACATGGGACCAGATTCATCCTCTGGGTACAACTTCAAATGGTGATATCTGTAAATAGTTTAAGCATGTTAATTGTAAGGGAAATTTAAATAGAGGGAAAAATGTAATTGAATAAACATTTAAATCTTTGGGAATACCATACACAAAAAATGCATTGCATCCTTGAAAAATCAGAGACAGATAACAGGTAAAGCAACTCACAAATGTAATGGCTTATCACAAACATCGCTGTGGAAGTGAAGGGTAATGGCAATTTCAAATTCACCCCATCCAGACTCCGATAACTCAAAAGGTGGAGACTCCACAACCCTCATGGGATTATTAAAACTCGAATGCAGTTGAAAAACAGCACGATCAATCACTATACTCAGATCCTCATTCGTCGCACTGCGGACATAAACCGTCCATTTGTGTGACTGAAACCTAATCAATAATCAAAGAACTTCAAATGGTCACTTTGTCAAACAAGTAACAGACAGTAAATACAGCTTATCAGCTTAAACAATACTCACTCGCTCGCCTTCTTACCAAGCCAAAATGCAACGTTACCGTACACTATCGGAACACTAATTTCAAGCTCTTTGAGTTTCTTACTCAAGTTCTACACAAAACCCATCCACAACATTAAAACCCCTAAACAACAACAAAGTAAGAAATTCAAAGAAATCATCTTTTTTCTCGATTTTTTTTTTTGGCATTTATGGGTAGTGTTATTTTAGTGAATTGAACAATGGGTATTCGTCAAATTTGAATTTCGGGAAGTGAAAAATTTTACCTTATTCTCATTGTCGTCCGAAGATTTACCCATTTTGATGCGCTGCGATTTTGGAGTGGGCCCACCAATTTCCAGCTGATCTGGTGCGTGCTTTTTCGTCGATCCACTCTGTGGCATTCTACAAATCGATTCCTCTTGAGATTGATCGAAGTGAATATGAAGAAAATACGGTTCGTTTGATTGCACACTGCCGAGGTGCAGAGTACGGCGTCGACGATGGTAAGGGTTGAATAAATATCAGATACGGCAAGGACTACAGAATGGTTCACTAGGGACGAATAAAAAAGCCAGTGGGGCAATTTCGGTAAGGGTATTTTAGTCAAGTCACACAAAATTATTCCCTATTGATGTCGTGTCAAATTTTCATTGAATAGTACGATGAGCGCATCGACTGGAGTATTGCCTTTATTTATCTAATAATTTTAATAAAATTACAGTATTATATAACAAATTAAATCAATTTTTTAAATTCAAACAACATCTTTCACTGTTAAATTTTCGGTTGTAACATCTGTGAGTTTTGCTTTCATGCCCCTCCGTGCTATTGGATATTTCTACTTGTCACCCCAAATTTTGGCATATTCACACAAAGTGCCACTTAACTTTTGGCATATTCATACAAAGTCCCACTTGATTCATATGCACTTCATATGTAGCACCCCCTAAACTCACTACTAAAAGGACGAATCAGTGTACGAAACTTTCGACATTGTTGGGTTTAAAGAGGGTTAGATATAGGTAGCCTTTATCTCTGCAAGAGGGTTAGATATAGGTAGCCTTTATCTCTGCAAGTATAACTCGAACAAATGACCNCGACATTGTTGGGTTTAAAGAGGGTTAGATATAGGTAGCCTTTATCTCTGCAAGTATAACTCGAACAAATGACCTTCAAGTCATAAATAGAACAATCTTATCGTTGAGCCAAAACCCACTTTATTTTTATACCAGGGACAACCACCATGGGCATGACTACATGACAAGTAGGCGAGTAAATTGGAACCCAGTATAATTTTTTACTAGAATTTCCACAAAAAAAAAATCATTGATCTTCCTATAATAATGATACTCTTTCCAAGAAAATTAATCCTTGAAAAATAATTACAGCAACTAATATCTTCACCATGGTAACACTCAGCATTAAGGTCAAGAGAATCCCCCATGTGAGCTTCCTGTTGCTCCCTCTCCTCGGATTGGAACCTTCAATAGCTTCCCTGTTTCTGTTGAATGCATCATTGCAGTAGTTAAACTGTCCTAATTTCACTACACCTACAGGCTGCTGAGAGTGACAACAGAGTATTATGCACACTTACTGACCAAAACAAAGATACAGTCGAGCGCAGGGAGATGAAGCTCGGGAACAAGCACTCAAACGAGGTGGGGAATCCATGTGAAGCAGAGGCAGCCAGATATTCCCAAAGACAATAAGATGAAGGCTTGGAAATGAGCCTACTTAAGATGCTGCACTAATAGCCCTGTTAAGGAATCACTTGAAACTTATTCTTGGTTAACTACAGAAAGATAATTTGTGTTGGAGTTGGTTTTATCCTCCGTCCATTGAGGACTTAAGTGCCATTTACATGGCATCACTTGAATCATGAATCAGCTGAGTTTCCCAGAGTGTACCTAATCCATAGCTTCATCTTATCAATATAATCGAAACTAGCCAACTTCCCAAACTGCCAGTATCCAATTCAACCATACAACAACTTCACCAAATTTGACTTACGAAGATGAATAATGGCAGTCAATAAATTTTAAACAAGAGTCCTGTCACATTTATATAGGTCCATAACTTCAGTTTTGTGATGAGACTGCCAAAAAAAATCGGTGTAACTGCTACTTGGGGATGCTATCTTAAGCAATGCCTATCACCAAACTCAACAACTGAAAAGTCAGAAGGGAATATATGTTATTCCCTAGAGAATTGCCCCCGAATTCAACTTGTGACTTCTATCCAACTACATCCAACATCTTTCTGTAGCTCTCTTTCTTTCATCAATTCCCTCAATTGCCCAATCTCATTCCACATACCAAACCTTGCATACATATTTGACAGTAAAACACAAATCCCAGCATTCTGAGGATCCAATTCCAATGCTCTTCTGGCGGCCAATTTGCCCAGGTCAACATTTCCACACTCATTGCAAGCACTAAGCAAGGTGCCCCACATGGCAATTGTGCAACCGCCATTCTCTGTATATGGCATCTCATTCATCAGTTTCCATGCCTTGTCCAATTCACCTGCTCTACAAAGCAAATCAACCAGGCAACTATAATGCTCTGGGGTGGGGTATAATTCAAAATCACGAGCCATGGATTCAAAGTACTGAATCCCAAGATTCAGTTGGCCTGTGTGACCACAGGCCGAGATGACGGTCACAAAAGCCACCCCATCTGGTCTAATCCGCTCCATCAGCATCTCTCTGAATAATCCAATCACTTCTATATAGCTCCCATTTCTTCCATATACACCAAGCATTGAACTCCATAAAACTACATCCCTCTTTGTATCATTTGGTTCAAATCCTGACATACTAAAAACTTGCCTAGCCTTCTCTACCAGTCCACACTTTCCATACATTTCAATTAACAAACTCTGCAGAAACATATCAGATCCCAAATCAGGAACTGTACGAATTACATTTGCATGTACCTGCCTACCAAATTCTATTGCAGATAGCCCAGCACATGCATGTAAAGCTGCTGATAACGTGAAATTATCATACTTCAAATTAATTCCATGCATCTTCCGAACAAGTTCAAGTCCATCAATACACATCTTAGCTTCAGCATAACCCGACAAAAGTGCGTTTGCGCACACGGTATTCTTAACCGGAATTTCATCAAACACCGCTGCTGCAAAATTAACAAGTGATGATTTTGCATATAAATCTATCAAAGCACTGCCCACAAACACACTCGACAACCACCCTGATTTTCCCACAAGGGAATGCAGTTGTTTACCAAACAGAACATTTTGAGTATAAGATGAAGCTGTCAAAGAGCTACACAAAGTGTAGGAGTCTATGGGAACACCATTGAAATGCATGAAAGAAAAGGTCTGGAGAGCAAGAGACGGCAACCCATTTTGACAAAACAAGGAAATGATTGAATTAAAGGGTAATGGGTTTTTGGGATTGAGGCATTTGTAGAAGTTTGTTAAAGTTTGAAGGTTGTTCTTGTGAAGGCATGTTCTGTATGTGAATATGAGTTGGGTCTGAAGGTTAGGGGAGATAAAGAGGAAGCCTGTCCTTAGTAGATGACCATGAAACTTCTTAATGGCGCCAACGTTCTTTGTTTGAGTGCAGTGGTATAAGAATTGAGTGACAGAGTTAAAGTATTGCGTATTATGAGAGAGAAATGGGGTGGACATCAAATGGGATAACCAATGCCTTCTAGGTGTTTGACTTGATCTCAGTTAGAAGTACGCTTTAGTCAAAGTGATAATCTGGCTTTTAAATGCCTGTTTGCTGTTATGACAACAGCGAGAATGGGACACAAAAACATCACCGCTTCTTCAAAATAAATAATAAAAATAAAAATAAAATAATTATGAATTCTCATTCTACATCATAATTTTTTTATTAAAAAAAAAGATGTGTGGGGTTTCATTAGTACCTGCTTTACTAAATTGCTCGTAAATTTTTTCTATACCTTTTGGATGATTGAAACAAAATTCTACTTCAGCCCAGTGGGAACCAAGGTAAGTTTGAGTATGGTGCAGATGCTTTATTGCTCAGACAATGGGCCTGTTTGGAGATAGTTGAAAATTTTAGTTTTTGTCAGATTTTCAAAGGAAAAGAAATAGTCAGTTTGGATTCGGACTTATTTTGTCGGTTTTTTTATCAATTTTTTTTGGACAAAAACAACTTTTATCACGCGTCTGGAAAAATCAACTTTATTAGAAACACTCCAACCGGTTTCAAACTTTTTGAACTTTGACTTTTTTATTTTATTTTTTAAACTACTGTTTTGCACCCAAAAAAACTAGCTTCAAACGGGCCGAATAAAGAGTAAAATCTTAAATAGATATACTAGAATTTGAACTTTCATGTGTGCTTCTGCTTCTTTATAGGCTCAAAATACCCCATGGCCAAGAGTAAGAGTTGCCAACAGAGCTTGATTAAGGATAGTTTGTTGCAATTAAAACAAAGAGAAAAAAAAAAAAGAATTCTGTCTCTAATCAAATGAAACGTAAGAAAAATTACCATAACTAGTCTGCATAATTCTTCATACTTCTATTAAGATGCACTTTTCTGAATAGAAGAAAAAAAAGGGATTTATACATGAAACTGTTTTACAAAAATGTGTTTACTACAATCTGCTAATGACCTATCTCATGTTCATTGCAAACGAGAGGTCAGATCAATGAAGAAATCCTCACTGCAGGGAATTGTTAGACCACCCATTGGATGATCAAACCCGAATTCTTCCTCAGCCTGACTTAATAAGTCTTGGAACAAAGGCTGGTTCAGGTATGATACAGGGATCAGAAATCTCTTCTTTTGGCTCTGCCCAACATAAACTGCACAGTACCCCTTTGGGACATCTATGGCTGCTGAAGTTGTACTGCTTGATGCCGATAAAGAGAATCCAAGAATTTGCTTAGCATTAAGAACACGAAGCATACGGATGGCCATGATTCTGAAAGGGTATGTTTTTTTCTGAAGGAAGAGTGAAAAGATGAAATTTCTCAGACAAGAGAAAGCTGAGATAGTTGAGTTTGTGAGGACTTGTGTTGGTTGTAAGTCCGGTTATGTCTATATATAGATGAGAGGATAAGTGTGATATCCTTCAAGATGTAGCCTGAGTGGTGAGGAGGCATTTGGATGAGGGCCAGTGAGAGACATGAGCACATGAGTCATCACATGGTTTTGCTTTTCAATCATCTTATGAAGCTTGGAGTGATACCCTGGAATCTATATTTGTTGGAAGGCATGATGCCCTACCACTTCTGGTAATGTACCCTGTAGAGGACCCCCCGCTTTAAATTACAGAAATAAGGGCCATAAAAAATGGAACAAAACATGAGTTGCTCGTTCAACTGTCCCTCAGAGACATGGTCGAGAAGTACCATGCATAATTGGCCCCCCACATTTGTTTTTGGTAATTTGGATCAAAACATATTTGAGATATCAGAATATGTGTGGCGCCTGCTGACTGTAAAAGGTATCCAACAAACAAATTTGATTGAAGACTTAATAAGAGGGTCTAATATGCAGATCTCTCAAATGTTCACTGGATAGAGTGTGTTGGGTTGTTCCACATTTGTTAAATTGTTGGTCAAGTAAACATGAAGGTCACCACTACTACCTAAGTTATGATACTAACAAGCAAGTAGGGTTATGATGTTCTATGGTTCTAACAAATTGAAAGAAATTAACAAGATTACAAAACCAATTACCCTTAAATGAAATGGATATAAAGTTGAAATACAATGAGGCATAGAGTCCCAATTAAAAATACTCGGTAGTTCTGTGAATGAAGGGTGTTCTACACATCATATTAAGATCTGGACATATATATCCACTCTATCCCACAGAATCTCATAAGGTTTCTATAACTAGCAGAGTGAGCTTCAAGACATATAATATAGTCTACTAAACATAAACATTTATACAAAAGTGATGTAATAACAGAATAGTATTCATGGAGTCTATATTTATGAACATTTGAACAGATTAAATTTGAGGAACCATAGTTTTAAATAAAAAACATCCATGAATGGGGTGGAATCTGAATTGTGTATTCTACCTAGTAAATAGACAAATGACTGCAAAATTGGCAAACATCAGTCGAACATAAATTTTTTGAGTAAGAGCAATGAGATTTTCATTTGAACCATGATAATATTGATCAAACAAATGAGAGAGAAGAGAGAAAAGGATGAGAATATATTACGGCTATAATAATCTGTCAGAGCATTAAGCTGAGATACACAATGCAAGCCCTTATATAGTAGAGCAACATAATTAAAAGAGAATGACTAAACTAACCCTAATAAGGCTTATAATAAGGTAGGCTCTCTAACACTTGAGACTTGAGTTTCGCAGCTGTTGAATCTACTTTTATTCTCCCTCTTTCCTACCTTAATTCTAAAAAAAAGGGGAAAAAAGATAAGAGGGAAAGCGGGATTAGTCACAGATATTTGATTGTATCTTTAATCGTCTTTATTCCTACTCCTTCCTATGCCAATAACTTGAATGAAAAAAAGAGGAATGTCAATGCTGCAAGTAACATTTCTGAGATTGGCTGAAAATGAGACATAAAAGCACCAAGCTTGGCATGGTAATTTTTTTTCCCTGAACCAGTATGAGTACTCTANTTTACCAAACCAATTACCCTTAAATGAAATGGATACAAAGTTGAAGTTCAATGAGGCATAGAGTCCCAATTAAAAATACTCGGTTATTCCGTGAGTAGTGAAGGGTGTTCTGCACATCTTATTAAGATCTGGACATGTATCCACTCTAACCTATAAAACTAATCCTCATCCCACAGAATCTCGTAAGGTTTCTATAACTAGCAGAGTGAGCTTCAAGACATATAGTATAGTCCACTGAACATTTATACAAAAGTGATGTAATAATATAGTATTCATGGAGTTCATATTTATGAACATTTGAACAGATTAAATTTGAGGAACCATAGTTTTAAATAAAAAACATTCATGAAGGGGCTGGAATCTGGATGATGTATTATACGTAGTAAATAGCCAAATGACTGCAAAATTGGCAAACATCAGTCAAGCATACATTTGTTGAGTATGGGCAATGAGTTTTTCATTTGAAATTCAAACTTGAGTCTAGCATCTGTTGAATCTACTTTTATTCTTTCTCTTTCCTCCCTTAATTCTAAAATAAAAAAGGAAAACAGATAAAAGAGGGAAAGCGGGATTAGTCACAGATACATGATTGCATCTCTAATCNATGTATTATACCTAGTAAATAGCCAAATGACTGCAAAATTGGCAAACATCAGTCAAGCATACATTTGTTGAGTATGGGCAACGAGTTTTTCATTTGAAATTCAAACTTGAGTCTAGCATCTGTTGAATCTACTTTTATTCTTTCTCTTTCCTCCCTTAATTCTAAAATAAAAAAGGAAAACAGATAAAAGAGGGAAAGCGGGATTAGTCACAGATACATGATTGCATCTCTAATCGTCTTTATTNCAAGCATACATTTGTTGAGTATGGGCAATGAGTTTTTCATTTGAAATTCAAACTTGAGTCTAGCATCTGTTGAATCTACTTTTATTCTTTCTCTTTCCTCCCTTAATTCTAAAATAAAAAAGGAAAACAGATAAAAGAGGGAAAGCGGGATTAGTCACAGATACATGATTGTATCTCCAATCGTCTTTATTCCTATTCCTTGCTATGTTAATAACTAGAATGAAATATGGGGAAATGTCAATGTTGCAAGTCACACTCCTGATATTGCTGATAATATGACATAAAAGCACCAAGCTTGGCATGGTAAATTTTTTTTTGCTAAAGCAGTATGAGTCCTCTAGTCGACAACTTAGCCTCTGCAATAACTCAATAAAAATGCATTTTGGTGACATAATCTTTATCAGGAGANCATCTCTAATCGTCTTTATTCCTATTCCTTCCTATGTTAATAACTAGAATGAAATATGGGGAAATGTCAATGTTGCAAGTCACACTCCTGATATTGCTGATAATATGACATAAAAGCACCAAGCTTGGCATGGTAAATTTTTTTTTGCTAAAGCAGTATGAGTCCTCTAGTCGACAACTTAGCCTCTGCAATAACTCAATAAAAATGCATTTTGGTGACATAATCTTTATCAGGAGAACTTTATCAAACACTAGTGATGTTTCATTGGGTTTTCTTGCAATGCCCACAAAATAGAAAAAATGAATGCGGAAATTGAAATAGAATTTACGGGAACAAGTCTTTCAACTGAATATAATGCTTTTGTCTCCAAAATTGAATAAAATGTGAGAGATTTGCTTCGACTTATCTACATTAGTTTTTTCTTATATGAGGAACTACATCATTTAGAAGCTCCTCTGTGAAGAGAAAAAGAAGATAATAATACATGAACTGCTTTACAAAATTGTTTGTACTTGTTGGAGTATAGATAGTAGTCTAGGTTTATTAGGATTCCTTTTCCCTTTTTTACCCTTACTATGATTTTTATATTTTGCCTAAACTACAAGGACGTTTAAGTNGGAACTACATCATTTAGAAGCTCCTCTGTGAAGAGAAAAAGAAGATAATAATACATGAACTGCTTTACAAAATTGTTTGTACTTTACTACAATCTGCTAATGTCCTGTCTCATCTTCCTTGCAAACGAGAAGTGAGATCAGAGAAGACATCCTCACTACAAGGAATTGTGAGACCACCCATTGGATGATCAAACCCGAATTCT